TGTGTGTGTGTGTGTGTGTGTGTGTGTGTGTGTGTGTGTGTGTGTGTGTGTCGGGGTAGGGGTGTTGAGCTCTCAAGTAGATGAACTGAAGGCCAGTGGGCCCAGCCAGGTGCTGGAATAAGCTATGTCCGGCAAGCCGGGCCTACAGAGTTCACATTCCCTGCCCTGGCACCATCTTGCCACCTCGGTTTTTGGAATGAGCAGAACCTGCCCACTCTACCCATGCCACACCTCCTAGGGGGTCCTGTCCATCTTATCTCCTGCTGGGTTGTCACAGCCATCTCCCTGGTCCCCTGTCCCTGTCCCTCCCTTGCCTAGACCCTGCCTGTATCTTCATCTTACTTGGGAGAGACAGAGCCCTTGCTGTGGCCCACAGGTGCCACCGGTCTGTCTCATCAGCAGCCCATTGCTTAGTCCTCTTGTCACCTCCTCTGTGTAGCCGCCAGGCCTTCTTGGCTACATCCAGCGAGTGCCCGCCTCAGTACCTTTGCCCTGACGTTTCTTACCTCCTGGCTGCTCCTCGTCCAGTGCACAGGGCTTCTGTGGACAAGGCTTCATGCACTGCAGGACTGGATTGACAGTTCCTACCTCTTCTGCCTGAATTTCTGAGCCACTTTTATTTCCTCTCAGGACTTAAGTCTGGCCTGCAGACCTTGGGTGGACCTGGTTTAATGACAGCCATCTTTCCCCAGTGTGAACCCCGCAGCAACTCTGTAGAGCTGAGAGCCAGGCAGGCTCCGCCTCAGCTGTCACTCAAGTGGACAGGAGGTGAAGGGCCAGCAACTAGGACCCTTCACTTGTGATTGGACAGTGTCTGATGAGGAAGAGTTAGGACCCCCTGGCAGAAGTGGGACCCTGTCCCAGCAAGAGGCCAGGGGACAATGGGACACATTTATATGGCGAATGGATATGGGCTCAAGAATGCAGGAGCCAGACCCCTCTGTTGCAGCTCAGTCCTGGAAAGCAAGGGGTACACTGAGGCAGGGAGGGCTTTCTTGGATCTGGTGACTCATTCCTTCAGGAGCATGGGAGAGGGGTGTGTCTGCCTCTCGTGAAAGATTGAAAGCAGAGCAAGGTGCAGGGCTGACTAGAAGATGGAGTACCCCACATTTGAAGAATCAGAGATTTAAAAGTGAAAGAAGCGTTTTAAAGAGTATAGTTGTTAGTGTGTGTCCTTGGCTGGAAGGAGCTGTCTGCCATACTGCTCCATCTGTCTCTCTTCCAGGGGTACCCAGTCGCCCCTTTACCTCTAGGGTCCAACAAGATTCCCCCGACATTGGCCTAGAGTAGCCCCTGTTCTGAGGTTTCTGGAAGCTTATGTTGGTGACTTCCCAGGGCCACAGGTTCCTTCATGGTGAGCATGTCAGTTCTAGAACCCAGTGAAGTACATTTGGTGGCAAGGACAGGTTTTCAGGCATCTTTTCTGTGACCAGCTGCCTGACCAGAGGCCCTGGAAGGGGGTCCAGGAAACCCATTTTCCATGAGACTGGGGCAAGCTGGATAGGAGGTGAAGTCCAGCCCCTGCAGTGCCGGCACAGGAGAGGAAAGGTGAGGCCTGTGGCCGGGCACGTAGAAACAGCATGGGAGCCGAGACTAGCCGGCCATGGCGCAGGCAAGTAAGAGCCCAGCCTGTTGTGCTCACCTTCCTGGGGCAAACCCTGGCAACCTCTGACTGGCTGAGTGCCTTGACAAGGGCTTTCTTCTCTGGAGTCTCAGTTTCCACACCAGAAAACTGGAATAGGGAGCCTCCATTGTAGGGCTGTGTGTATGGCGTGGGGCTGTGTGCCACTGGCAGGATCTGTGCCAGAAGCAGGGCCACAGGCCTGGGAGAAGTGGCCTACTCTAATGTCTGCTCTGGTTTTGCCCATGGGCAACTGAGGGGACCCTCTGTGCTTCATTTTCCTTACTTAGGGCATGGGGCTCACAGTGGCCCTCTGCCGGTCAGGAGGAAAGGTTGAGAGATACTGGGTAAAGTGGTTCAAAGAGAGGCGGCACACAGTAAGTAGGTGCACGTTCCTGCTGGCTACTGTTGTCATGTGACTAGCATTGAGGAGTTACTGCCTGAGTGTCAGTAAGAGTTGGCTCTGAGCCAGGCCTTCAGTGCCGTGCTGGATTGTGTTCTCTGTGACTCCTTGTAAAAGCTGCTGGAAGCAGCTACTGTCAGCACCCTCTAACAAGAGGAAACTGAGGCATAAGAACGGAGCTCTTTCCCCAGGGTGACACACTGAGCTTCCTGGCATGAGCTGTGGGCTGGGTCCTCACAGCTACAGAAATCAGGGCACTACAGTGCTAGCTAGCTCTCAGCCCTGGCATGAGCTGTGGGCTGGGTCCTCACAGCTACAGAAATCAGGGCACTACAGTGCCAGCTAGCTGTCAGCTGCGGTCTGAGGCCTGGGCTGCAGGGCTCTGAAATTCTGAGCTGGCCTGGGAGACCCATCCCAGCCATGAGAGGCCTAAAAGGGCTTGGGTGGGGCCTCTACCAGGTCATTATAAACATGGCCAGTTCCTCTGTTTGTCCTTCCCTCCATATGCTGCCCAGAGGAAAGGGGTGGCCCTGGTAAATATCCGGAGGTGTGCCCTTCCGTCCCGTCTCCCGCAGGGTCACAAGTGACTGCAGTATGCAAGGTGGCTCGGGGATTATGGGTGGGGGTAGGGGTCTGTGTTGGGGAGCATGGGAAGGCACTGCTAAGTGCTCCCCCACCTTTTCCATCCTGAGCACCTCTCTACTTGTAGTGAGTGATCACATGTACTACCACCCCCTATTTTACCAAATTTGGGAGCTACCTTGGGGCTCCCTGGGTGTGGGAGATGGGAACTGAGAGTAGAGCCAAGAATTCAGGGTGCAGAGCAAGCTAGCCCCGGAGGACGGGGAGCCGCGGGTCGCAACACCAGCCTCCACGCTGCATTAGGCAGCTTGAGGTGTGGCACTGTTGGAGTCGTAGAGACAGGCCTAGTGCCAAGGAGGACTAGGTAGGCCTGGTGCAGAGGTCGCCCGCCGTGGGTGCTGGGACAGGCCCGGCAGGAAAGGCTGGAAGGAAGGGTGCACACTGCTGCGCTGGTTCTGAGACAGAGAAGACTGGAAGCCAGAGGTGCCCATTCTGCCCCAGCTGTCCCAACCCTCAGCCAGACTCCTGGACCTGGATCAAGCAAAGAAACCAGACCAGCCGGGAAAGCCCTCTCCAAGCCTGGGGCTGGCCACCTGCTGGCCCCTTGGGACCAGTTGAGACAGGTTGGCTGCTGTATCCCCACCTGCCTCTCACTTGGCTTGGCTGCCAAACCGGTTTCCCTGGCTGGCTGCCCGTTAGTGTCCTTCTTGTAGGCTAAGCCAGTGACTCCCAAGAAAGAGAGCCATGCCTGGAATAGAGGAGACCTGGCTGGGGCCCTCTGGACACTTGTCTGTAGCCATGTCCCCAGCAGAGTCTCACTGGGTCGGGGTGCTGGTTCTGTGACAGCCCATCACCCTGCCAGGTACTAGAGAGCCAGGTGGGACAAAGATGGAAGTCCTCTGGGACTCTGGTCCTTTAGGTCCACTCATGAGACCTCCCATAGCACACCTGCCCTCCTCCATGGCTGGGTAGCACTTTGTGTGCCCAGTCCCTACCAGCATCCACCGTCACTAGCTATCTGCCCCAGGTAGACCTTAGTGGTCACAGGCTGTCTAGGTGGTCATCATGCCCCACTGTCAGCCAGGGTACAGTGGGTGTTAGTGACCGAGTGACTGATGGATCTTTTCTTCTTGTCTTTCAGATGAGTAACTCAGAGCCTCAGGAGGAGACGTCACCCACACAAGGGTGTTTCTAGCCCAGCCAGCTTCAGACCAGGTCTGTGTGACTCCAGGCTCTTCCCACAAGGCCAGTGTCCCCAGCATAAGGGGCTAGTCCAAGTCAGGGAGGGACTCAGTCGCTCCGTCCCCCAGGCCCCAGGTAGAGAGGCACAAGAAGGATTGTTGCGCGGCCGCCTAGTGTCCATCGTTGCTTGAGCCTCTGTGGGGTGCCACCATCATCCTGTCCTTCAGCTGGGGTGGACCCCAGGACCTCTCACCTACTATACACTGCTCTGCTGCTGAGCTGCAGCCCCAGACCCTTCTATCACTTGATTTTGAGACAGTTTCACCACGTTGAGCAGAAGAGCCTGAATCCACTCTATCCCGGGGAAAGCACTGAGTAGCCATTCTTCTGCCTCCTGAGTAGCTGGGATTGCAGCTACGCAGGCTGTGCCCCTAGCTGGGCTCATCTTTTGATTCTTTGTTGTTGTTGTTACTGATGTCGTTTATTTTTAATTTACTTTTTAAAAATGATTACTAGTCTTTGAAGTTTGTGCGTATGGGTGGTTTTGCCTGTGTGTATGTCTGTGCATCTCATGTGTTGGTAATGTCCTCGAAGGTCGGAAGAGGGTGTCATCTCCCCTAGAAGTGGAGTTATATACAGTTGTGAGCCACCACGTGGTTGCTGGGAATTGAACCCAGGTCCTCTGGAAGAGCAGTCAGTTTTCCTACCTGCTGAGCCACCTCTCCAGTCCCCCATTCCGTTTTTGAGGCAGCCTCTCTATGTAGTTCTAACTAGCCTAGAACTCACTTATGTAGACCAGGCTGGCCTTGGACACGCAGAAACCTACGTGTCTCTGCCTCTGAGTACTGGGACTAAAGGGGTGCATGTGTCACCGTGCCTGGCTCACCCCTGGACTCCTGACAGGCCTTTACTGGGTATCTATATAAGTGCCCAGCTGAAGACGCAGGCCCTAAGAGTGTCACATCACAGTGTGGAGAGGCATCCCATGTGTCTGTAGCCACTGACTGTAGTGGCCAGATTGGAGGCGGGGACTGTCACTGGTGCCCAGGGGTGGGACCAGGGAGGCTGTGTGGCTGGCTGGTTTAGGCACTACTGTCATTACTGGGGCTGGAGGGAGACCAGAGGCACTCCACACAGCCACAGCAGCAGCTTCCCCGTAGGTGAAGGGCATCTGAAGGTGATGTGGTGGCCTGCAGGCTGTGTGCTTAGGAAAGCATTCAGTAGTGACCCAGGGAACTGGAGGAGGGCACGGAGGGAACTCCTGGGCTAGTAGACAAGAGGGCCTGCCTGTGCAAAGGTCCTGCAGAGTGAAAGCTGCAGTGAAGGAGACGGGCTGCGTGAGGTCCCCAGGCCACAAGGAGCTGTGGCTCAGAGGAGGAGACAGCTGGGCCTCACCCTCTAGTTGCTCAAGAGGAACCCACAAAAGTAGCCGCTCGGAGGGCCCCCGGGGGAGGCTGCTGCCCCCTGCTGGTATATGGGAAAGGTGCTGAACTGACCTGGGCAGAAGCAGAGAACTGGGGAAGGTTTGAGTGACAGATGACCTGCCACTGATCCCACGTCCCCTGCTGCTTCCTTCCTGCAGGTGCCTGTAAGAACCCCAGCCACCCCGGTCACACTCTGTGCTAAGGCCCTGGAACCATGTTTGGAAAGAAAAAGAAGCGGGTGGAGATCTCGGCCCCATCTAACTTTGAGCACCGCGTGCACACAGGCTTTGATGAGCATGAGCAGAAGTTCACGGGGCTGCCCCGCCAGTGGCAGAGCCTGATTGAGGAGTCAGCGCGCAGACCCAAGCCCCTGATCGACCCCGCCTGCATCACTTCCATCCAGCCTGGAGCCCCCAAGGTAGCCATCTCCACACCACCTCTAGCCCAGAGCCCAGGCTGCCAGAGCGGCCCGGCCCTTCGGTTACTCCTGGCAGACCCCCCCCCCTCTGTAGCCCACGGCCAGCCTTCTACCTGCCAGGGCAGTCCTGGAAGCCCGTGCTGTCCTCTGACCTCCACTCCACATACTCAGCCTGGGTCTCCAGTGCTTCGTGACGTGGGAGACAGCCTCAGGGCTCGGCTAGAGGATGCCTAGGCTGCATTCCAGGGTCCGGGGAGCAGCTGAGGCAGATGCGAGCCCGGCAGCAGCCACTCAGTCTTATCTTCCTGAGCGAATTGTCAGAGTCGGAATGGGACCCGAGGTCTAGATCCAAGGTCCTCTCCCTTACCTCACCCCCATGTGCAGTATGAGAATTGTGGCCTCCCTGCCTAGGCAGGACTACAGCCATGCAGGCCTGGTGACACGAGTGCCCCTGCTGGACTCGTGCCATGGGTGGTGGGGCCCAGAGGAGTGCAACCAGACTTGTCCCTACTGGGAGGCATTGGGAGTGCCTGTGGTCAGCAGGCTGGCTGCCTGGCACTGCAGCTGACTCACCCTCTCTCAGTGACCAGCCAGGGTGCCCGCAGCCAAGGTGCTTGGGTCCAGGCTGGGGTCTTTCTGGTTTTCTGTGACCCCGAAGGGTCACGTGAGAGCCTTGACTTCTCTCTATTGCTTAGAAAGCCCCTCTTGTCATCTCAGTATGGGCTTTTCATGACCCAGGCCAGCTGGAAGCCAGTAGCAACTGGTTGTCAAGTAGGTCCCACTGTAGTCCCCAGACAGCCCACCCTAAGCACTCCCGTGACGCAGTGAGCTTTGGGGTCATTTCTCCCAGGTTGTGTGTCCCCAAAATCTCACCCCTGCTCTGTGTACCCTTGTGCTTCCACACCTTCCCACAGTCATGAAGAGGAAGGACACTTGTCCTAATTCACGTGTAGGCACTCAGCTGGTGCTGCCTACATGGCCAGCTTCTTGATCATTGACTCCAGGTTCAGTCCCGACGCCTGGCAGGTATCCACTGACTGAAAAACAAACAGAGGATGTGCCTGCTCCGAGGTGTGGTGGAGGAGGTTTATTGTGGGTATGAGGGAGCACGTAGCCAGAGGCAGACACATCTGGTGGAGTCCAGAGTGGACTCGACCCTGAGGCGGGCCGTGGGGGCGGGGGGAGAGCCAGGAGGCCAGGAGGCCAAGAGAGTAAAAAGGTCAGTACAGCCAGAATGGCTGGAGTATAGAGGGAGAGACATCTTCAGGAGAGCAGTCGAGGCCCTGAGCTGGAGAAGTGTAGGGTATGGGGCAGCAGTGTATGCCAGAAAGAAAGACCCTGTAACAGGTAGGGACTGAGGGATTCTGGGAGAACCTAGAAGCCTGGTCTGCTTTGATATGTAAATAGGCACCTCAGCTATTTGCCCTGGGTTTGAAACCTAATATCCACCTTTTTCTTGGTTCCCTGGACAAGGTCAGGCTTCCAGGCATACAGCCAAGACCCACAAGAGGCTGGGACCACAGCTTGCCATTAGGAGCCTTGTGGGCTACGGGTGGTTCCCAGGAGCTCAGGACATCCTCAGCCTCAGAGGCTATCCAGTCCTGTCTCTGCCTGCCACCTGAAGGCAGTGGTAGGCAGCTGCCCGCCTCCGTGTCTCCTTCCTCCTCCCTCCCTTCCTTTTGCAAAGCACCTTCTTGTGTAGACTCCAATCTAGGACCCAAGGCATGGGTAGACCGTGAATGGTAGAACAAGTGCATGCTCAGTGCATGGGAAGTTCACAGGGGTGAGGCGGCCTACTGGGTGCACGGTCATGTCAGCTGCACCAAGGGCCTAGAACACTGGTTCTCAACCTGTGGGTCATGACCCCTTTGGGAGTCACATATGAGATACTTACATTACAATTCATATCAAGTCTCAGAGAAGTATGCTTTGATCAAAGACCTCTGGAAGGGAATGGGACAGCCCTGGAGACACTTGGAAGACATAGGTTGTAGGCAGGGCAGAGAGCTGACAGACACACATCTGGTGTATTGGAGGAACAGCCTGATGTGCCCAGCACTCAGGGTATAGAGAAGCCAAAAGGACCACAGCTCAGCGGGGGTGGGTAATGTAGGGCAGGGAGAGAGATACAAGGGCTGGTGGTTCAGGATAGAGTCCAGCTGACGTTTGCCACGCGGCTCCCAGGCCTCCTAGGCCTTGGCTTTGGGCTGTGGGCTTTCTATTCTGTGCCACATCCTTTGCCCCAGGGGATCAGAGCTGCGTGGTTTGAGGGTTAATGATGCTGGCAGCCTGCAGGGGAGGAAGTGCTGAGCCCAGCGGCCTGTAATTTGCAGCTCCTGGGGCCTGATTACAGACTGGGTTCTCTTCCCTCGCCCCAGTCCACAGGGCAGAGCTTGCTGCCAGGCTAGGAGCCAAGGAAGTCAAGAGGCACTTGTTGGGGGAGCACCCAGAGTGGGTGGTGGGCATGACAGCAGTACCTGGGGCATTGCAGGGTCCCCTGCCACCCCAACCCGTCATCACCAAGCCGTCACTTCACCTGTCTCTGTCTTGTTTCTGTGTTGTATTGTCTTTTCTGTGTCGGATGCACGGCTGTGTCCTCTCCTTCCTGGCTCTACCCTGCCGTTGCCTGGGCCCCAGACCATCGTGCGGGGCAGCAAAGGTGCCAAGGATGGTGCCCTCACACTGCTGCTTGACGAATTTGAGAACATGTCGGTGACACGCTCCAACTCCCTGCGCAGAGAGAGTCCACCACCGCCTGCCCGTGCCCACCAGGAGAACGGAATGCTGGAGGAGCGGGCAGCCCCGGCCAGAACGGCCCCTGACAAAGCTGGAGGCAGAGCCCGGGCCACAGGCCACAGTGAGGCAGGCAGTAGCAGTGGTGACAGACGGCGGGTGGGGCCGGAAAAGAGGCCCAAGTCTTCGAGGGAGAGCCCAGGAGGGCCCCAGGAGGCCTCCCGCGATAAGCGCCCCCTCTCTGGGCCTGACGTCAGCACTCCTCAGCCTGGCGGTCTGACCAGTGGGACAAAACTGACAGCGGGCAGGCCCTTTAACACATACCCACGGGCTGACACGGACCACCCACCCCGGGGTGCCCAGGTAACCCATCTTCACTTTAGCACCTTAGTATCCACTCCATTGCTTCCCTTCCCCCCTCTGCCCCCAATCCAGACCCTAGTGAGTTTCTCATCCTGATCACCCATCATCTGGATGGGGAGAACTAACGCGGTCCCCGCTCACAGTGGTCCCCGCTCACAGCGCCTTTCCTCTGTTGCAGGGGGAGCCACACACCATGGCCTCTAATGGGCCATCAGCCACAGGCCTGTCTGCTCCTCAGTCTTCCTCCCGGCCTCCTGCCCGAGCCCAGCCCAGCCCAGGAGTGCTGGGCCCCCATGCCTCTGAGCCCCAGTTGGCGCCCCCAGCACGTGCCCTTGCTGCCCCTGCTGTACCCCCTGCCCCTGGGGCCCCTGGGCCTCGCTCACCACAGCGGGAGCCTCAGCGAGTGTCCCATGAGCAGTTCCGGGCTGCCCTGCAGCTGGTGGTGGACCCAGGGGACCCTCGCTCCTATCTGGACAACTTCATCAAGATCGGCGAGGGCTCCACAGGTATTGTGTGCATAGCCACTGTGCGCAGCTCAGGCAAGCTGGTGGCCGTCAAGAAGATGGACTTGCGCAAGCAGCAGAGACGTGAGCTGCTCTTCAATGAGGTGGGTGCCGGCCGGGAAGCCCAGTAGTCTGCCTCCTCTCCTCACAGCTGTCCCAGCCTAAGATGCCTATGCCTCTGTCATCCCAAGTGCCCATGACTTGTTCCAGCTAGTCCTGGGCCTGTGTTCTCCCTCCAGACCTCTTCTCTCAGGCTTCCTGTCTCTGGGATACCCTGCCATACCTCACTCCAGACCACGGCCCAGTGTCCCCTTCCTCCAGTCCCACCTCTGTGAAGCCTCTTTCTCTCACCCGTGGGCTCCTGCTCCAGCTTTTCTCTCAGGCCTCCCCTGGACACGCCGTATATAACGTCTGAGAGAGGAGTCCTTGGCTTTCAGCCTCGACAGGCCCTCCTCGTGTCCCCCTGTCTTCACGTCCCATCAGATCCTAGTCCCAGCTAGCTCAGAACCAGGCACTCGGTTCAACTCAATTTCTGGCTCTGGGTATCAGCCTTGCCATCCATCACAAAGGCAGTTCTGAAGTGTGGGTATGACAGGTACCCCCTGCCCTGCTACAGGAGTCCCCCGAGGTCCTGCTCGGAGGCTGTCGGGCTGCTTGCCTGTCTCCTAAGACTTGTACCTCACCTGTTCCACATCCTGGGGCTCCACCCACACCATAAATTCCTCCTCACGCTCAGCCTGCTCCTCTGGTCCCTGTAAGCAGTGCTCCCCGCCACCCTCATCACCCAGACCTTTGTCAGTCCTCCATCTGGAGGGCTCCATTAAGGTGCGCCACATGCATACATGTGCGCACACACGCACAGCTTTTCCTCCATACCTGCCTGTCCTCCTGTCCTCTTTACTTCTCCAGATGCCCCCTGGTAGTCAGACCACTAAAAGACCGGCCAGGACTGGTCAAAATTAGAGAACCTGCATGGTGTAGGAAGCTAGGGTGTACCCCTAGAATGAATTGGTTGCCCTCAGGCTGGCCTCCAGGTCTTCTTGGCTTTGGAGAAGGGAACAGCTGGAGTGAGCTAGTTTGCCGACGTGCAACCTGCTAGGAGGTGGAGGGAGGCTGGCTGGTGCCAGGGCTACAGGTGCCCACAGTCCCATGCTGACTCTGCCCCTGCCCAGGTGGTGATCATGCGGGACTACCGGCATGAAAACGTGGTGGAGATGTACAACAGCTACCTGGTGGGTGACGAGCTCTGGGTAGTCATGGAGTTCCTGGAGGGAGGCGCCCTCACAGACATTGTCACCCACACCAGGTACTGTACCGCAACCTGCTGGCTCATGTGCTCCCAGGGGTGGAGCTGGGACCCTTTAGGCTCTGGTGATAGACAGGTACTCTCCAGGGTGTAGGTGGGACCCTGAGGACAGGCACACAGCATGGGGTCATAGCATGTTGACTCCCCGGACCCCTGTTGAGGCAGGTCTTTCTGACCTCTGGATGTCCTAAAGCAGGGTAGGGGCCTCTTAGCTCCCCACCCTCACCCCACGGTGGGACGCATGAGGAGGACCCTGGGTGCTCAGTTGCTCCTTCTGCCCACACAGGATGAACGAGGAACAGATTGCTGCCGTGTGTCTGGCTGTGCTTCAGGCGCTGTCTGTGCTCCATGCCCAGGGTGTCATCCACCGCGACATCAAGAGTGACTCCATCTTGCTGACCCACGATGGCCGGGTGAGTGAACGGGATGGCTAGATGTGTGTAGGGGCAGCTTGAGGGAGAGAATGGCGCTGTCTCTTGCCTTATCGTCATGGTAGAGCAGAATGCAGCCAAACAGCTCCCTTCTGGGTGGCCAGGAGATGGGGAGCCTGTGCTGAGGGCCTGTTCCCTTCGCACACACATTCGGGACAGCTCCTGTCCCTGTTAGTCCTCTGGAAACCCACAGACAGGCCCCTCTCACTCGGCCTCCAGCCGATTTCCAGGCTCAGCTGTCACCTGGTGCTGGGTCCCTGCCTCACCCTCTGCCTCTGTGGCCATGAGCCTCTGGTGGCTGGAGGGGCAGCTGGCTGATTTGTCCCTTACAGAACGGCCCAGAGAAGGGGTCCCATTGGTGGAATGCACTGTCATCGTAGAACTGGAAGCTAAGATACCTGACCAGGGCCCAGCGAGGAAGGGATTGGGCAGCAGCCACGGCTCTGGGCAACATGCTTCCCAGCCAAGGCTGGCCTGCCTCACCTGTTGTTTTCTTTCATTTTATTTTTGTTTTGACAAGAAGGTCTCACTGTGTAGCCCCTGGCTGGCCTGGAACTCGGTGTATAGATGAGGGTGGCCTTGAGTTCACAGGGATCTGCCTGTCCCACACCTAGTTGTTTTTTTTTTTTAATGGGACACTGTCTTCTGTGTGTCCATGGCTGGCCTGGTACTTGCTGCATGCCCAGGCTGGCCTTGAACTACTGTCTTGGATTCCTGAGAGCTGAGACTGCAAGCATGCTCCACTAGGTCTTCCCCGTCCTCCGTCAGGACTCAGAAGGGCCCCATCACCCTGGCACTCGGGCATTGGGCCAGGCTCACTGTGGACTCAAGCTTCCCTGTGTTCCATGTGCCATCCTGGATGCCTCCCTGACTTTAGCAAGCCAGTTGGAGCACAGGGTTGACCAAACCTCCAGCAGTCTGGACCCTGTGGTGTGAAGCTGGCTATGCTGGCTTCCCCCTTTTAGACTGAGGTCTTGACTCTGAATCCGGGGCCGTGGTTGAGTCAGCTAGTATCTGTAGTCTAAGAGGACATGATTTCTGGGGGCAGAAGAGCCACAGCTATCAGAGAGAGGGCCCATGGCTCCAAAAGTGTTCAGTCCTGGATGCTAGTTGTAGCAGAGGTTCAGACTCTTGAGCCAGTGAATAGAGCGCGTGTTTCCCCCGGGCCCTGGCCTTCAGAGCGTCGTCTGTCCTGGTCTCTGCTGAGCCTCTCTGCAAGGCTTGAACTACATCCCCTAAGACCCTCCGACACCTGAGGGCCCTGCCAGTAGGGAGCAGAGCTGGCCTCACCCCTGCTGCTCAGGGGAGCCTGTGTGTCTGAAGCAGTCAGGTAGGTGGGCACCTCTGACCTGCAGCCCCTTCTGCCTCAGGTGAAGCTGTCCGACTTCGGGTTTTGTGCCCAGGTGAGCAAGGAGGTGCCTCGGAGGAAGTCACTGGTGGGCACACCGTACTGGATGGCCCCCGAGCTCATCTCCCGCCTTCCCTATGGGCCAGAGGTAAGCCCGGGAGGGGCCCAGCTACCCAATCCCAAGTGGCCTGCAGGAGGTGGCCCGAGCTTCCATTATCTGTTGGAAAAAGCAGGCTGACCGCAGGGGAGCCGGTGCTGCTAGGGAAAGGGTGGCATCGTCCTTGAGGCTGTAGTCACCACCTGAGCCTGGATGCTGTAGCGTCCTAGCCCTGAGACTCTTCGAGTCAGCAGACTTGATCCCCATAGGGCAGGGGCAGACCGGAGCAGGGCTCCACAGGAGTGAGGCTAGCCTGAGCTCACTCTCTTGGGTCTGTCTTAGTAAGGATGGCTTGTGAGGGACAGGAATGGGGCCTGGACTCACTCAGCAGTCCGTGGCAGCTGCTGTTGCCTAGACCCGAGAATTCCGGGTAGACAGGCTTGCACTCTCCACAGGTCATGGGCTCAGGACTAGAGACAAAGGTGGAGGCCGACAGAGGCCACTCCTGGAGCTGGCAGAGGACTGGCCCTCTGCCCTCAGGACTGTGGTCCCTTTCCCGTCCTAGGTGGATATCTGGTCACTGGGGGTGATGGTGATTGAGATGGTAGATGGGGAACCCCCCTACTTCAACGAGCCACCCCTCAAAGCCATGAAGATGATTCGGGATAACCTGCCACCCCGACTGAAGAACCTGCACAAGGTGAGCAGAACAGGCTGTACCGTAGAGCAGGCTGTACCATAGAGCAGGCTGTACCGTTGCTGATTCCTGGTGGCTCCCCAGCCCCAGGGACAGAGCTCTGGGTCCCCTGAGCCCTTGGCCACCACAGAGCTTGCCTGACTGTAGGGCTGTCTGTTGGAGAACTTGCATGTGGGAAGAGGCTGCCTTCAGCTTGCCCAACCACAAGAGTGGGGAGGAGGAGCCGTAGGAGATTCTGGAGTGGTAATGCCTAAGACTTCTCTGACCTTCCCTAAGATGCTGTCAGCCCACAGGATGTTATAGGAAAGTGGACCCACAGCAAGTAATGCTGTCCATAGCTGTCCATAACGCTGTCCTCCTGCACTGTGCTCCTTCACAGGCGTCACCGTCTCTGAAAGGTTTCTTGGATCGCCTGCTGGTGCGTGACCCAGCCCAGCGGGCCACTGCCGCCGAGCTGCTGAAACACCCGTTCCTCACCAAGGCGGGGCCGCCGGCCAGCATCGTGCCCCTTATGCGCCAACACCGAAACAGATGAGCCCGAGCCTAGTCCTGAACCAAAGAGTCCCGGGCCACCCTGCCCGGCAGAGGCCAGTTGAGGGCCAGCCGGCTCCCACAGCCCATGAGACACTCAAGGGCACCACCGTCACTGTGCTGGGGCCTTCGTGGGGCCCTACTGCTGAACTCTGGTTTTGATTCCATGACTTGTAAAGCCACACCAGGACATGTGGGAGCAAGTGAGGCTCCCAGGATATCCCAGGACGGGCCCATCCACTGGGCGCTGTCTACAGGAAAGAAGACGGCTGCCCCATCACTGGAAAACTGCATCAGGGGCCACTGAGGCAGAGCAGATGCTGTGAGAAAGGTGGTGTGTGTGTGTGTGTGTGTGTGTGTGTGTGTGTGTGTGT